AAGTAGTGGAGGCAGGAACCATACATAGTTTTAAGAAGAGGTATGACAAAGCTCAGGAAGCAGAGAGAGAGAGGATCCAGTAGCGATCAGTGAAGAGGCGGGGCCAGGAGCTGAGTCTCGACCCCTGCAACCACAATTAGGTGAGTACAGTTAGGTGAGTACATGAGGAGTGGAACGAAAGAATCAGTGAAAAATCCCCAGACATCATAGCAGTCACAGAAACAAAACTCGCTGAGACAATAACAGACACAATCTTCCCAATGGGATATCAGATCCTGAGGAAAGATAGAAGGAGTAGAGGGGGAGGAGGGGTTGCACTGCTCATAAAACACCGATGGGGATTTGAGGAAATGGAAGGCATGGACATGATTGGAGAAAGAGACTACACTGTAGGTACAATTCAGTCCGGAGAACATAAAGTAGTCATTGGAGTGATGTATAACCCACCACAGAACTGCAGGAGGCCAAGAGAGGAGTACGAAGAAAACAACAGGGTGATGGTGGACACACTGGCTGAGGTGGCAAGAAGAGCTCACTCGAGCAGAGCAAAGTTACTGGTAATGGGCGATTTCAACCACAGGGAGATCGACTGGGAAAACCTGGAGCCACATGGGGGTCCCGAAACATGGAGAGCCAAGATGATGGATGTGGTACTTGAAAATCTTATGCATCAACATGTCAGGGACACAACCAGAGAGAGGGGAGGATGAGCCAGCAAGATTGGATCTTGTGTTCACCCTGAGCAGTTCAGACATTGAGGACATCACTTACGAGAGACCCCTTGGAGCTAGCGATCACGTGGTTCTGAGTTTTGATTATATAGTAGAGTTACAAGTGGAGAAGGTAACAGGAACTGAAGGGGACAGGCCAAACTATAAAGGGGGGACTACACAGGTATGAGAAACTTCCTGCAGGAGTTCAGTGGGACAGAGAAATGGTAGGAAAATCAGTAACGAGATGATGGAATATGTGGCAACAAAGTGCAAGGAGGCAGAGGAAAGTTTTGTTCCCAAGGGAAACAGAAATAATAGGAAGACCAAAACGAGTCCTTGGTTTACCCGAAGGTGTAGGGAGGCAAAAACTAAGTGCAACAGAGAATGGAAAAGGTACAGGAGGCATATGACCCAGGAAAACAAGGAGATTAGTAGAAGAGCCAGAAACGAGTATGCACAGATAAGGAGGGAGGCCCAGCGACAGTATGAAAACGACATAGCATCGAAAGTCAAATCTGACCCGAAACTGCTGTATAGCCACATTAGGAGGAAGACAACAGTCAAGGACCAGGTGATAAGGCTGAGTAAAGAAGGTGGAGAACTCACAAGAAACGATCAAGAGGTATGTGAGGAGCTCAACACGAGATTTAAGGAAGTATTTACAGTAGAGACAGGAAGGACTCTGGGGGGACAAACCAGATGGGGACACCAGCAAGGAATACACCAACAAGTGTTGGACGACATACATACAGATGAGGAGGAGGTGAAGAAACTGCTAAGGACATCGATACCTCAAAGGCAATGGGACCGGACAACATCTCCCCGTGGGTCCTTAGAGAGGGGGCAGATATGTTGTGCGTGCCACTTACCACAATCTTCAACACGTCCCTGGAAACTGGGCAACTACCTGAGGTATGGAAGACGGCAAATGTAGTTCCCATTTTTAAAAAAGGAGACAGAAAAGAGGCACTAAACTATAGACCTGTGTCATTGACGTGTATAGTATGCAAAATTATGGAGAAGATTATCAGGAGGAGAGTGGTGGAGCACCTGGAACGGAACAAGAGTATAAATGCCAACCAGCACGGATTCACGGAAGTGCAAATCCTGTGTCACAAACCTTCTGGAGTTTTATGGTAAAATAACAGAAGTAAGACACGAGAGAGAGGGGTGGGTTGATTGCATCTTCTTGGACTGCAAGAAGGCCTTTGACACAGTTCCTCACAAGAGATTAGTGCAGAAGCTAGAGCATCAGGCGCATATAACAGGAAGGGCACTGCAATGGATCAGAGAATACCTGACAGGGAGGCAACAACGAGTCATGGTACGTAATGATGTATCACAGTGGGCACCTGTGACGAGCGGGGTCCCACAGGGGTCGGTCCTAGGACCAGTGCTATTTTTGGTATATGTGAACGACATTATGGAAGGGTTAGACTCAGAAGTGTCCCTGTTTGCAGATGATGTGAAGTTAATGAGGAGAATTAAATCTGATGAGGACCAGGCAGGACTTCAAAGAGACCTGGACAGGCTGGACACCTGGTCCAGCAAATGGCTTCTCGAATTTAATCCTGCCAAATGCAAAGTCATGAAGATAGGGGAAGGGCACAGAAGACCACAGACAGAGTATAGGCTAGGTGGCCAAAGACTGCAAACCTCACTCAAGGAGAAAGATCTTGGGGTGAGTATAACATCGAGCATGTCTCCGGAAGCACACATCAATCAGATAACTGCTGCAGCATATGGGCGCCTGGCAAACCTGAGAACAGCATTCCGATACCTTAGTAAGGAATCGTTCAAGACACTGTACGCCGTGTATGTCAGGCCCATACTGGAGTATGCAGCACCTGTTTGGAACCCGCACTTGATAAAGCACGTCAAGAAACTAGAGAAAGTACAAAGGTTTGCCACAAGGTTAGTTCCAGAGCTAAGGGGAATGTCCCATGAAGAAAGATTAAGGGAAATCGGCCTGACAACACTGGAGGACAGGAGGGTCAGGGGAGACATGATAACGACATATAAAATTCTGCGTGGAATAGACAAGGTGGACAAAGACAGGATGTTCCAGAGAAGGGACACAGAAACAAGAGACCACAATTGGAAGTTGAAGACACAAATGAGTCAGAGAGATATTAGGAAGTATTTCTTCAGTCATAGAATTGTAAGGCAGTGGAATAGCCTAGAAAATGACGTAGTGGAGGCAGGAACCATACACAGTTTTAAGACGAGGTTTGATAAAGTTCATGGAGCGGAGAGAGAGGGCCCAGTAGCAACCGGTGAAGAGGCGGGGCCAGGAGCTAAGACTCGACCCCTGCAACCACAAATAGGTGAGTACACACACACACACACACATATATATATATATATATATATATATATATATATATATATATATATATATATATATATATATATATATATATATATATATATATACATATATATATATATATATATATATATATATATATATGTAGCGCCAAATAGGTAAAACTTGCAATATTGGCTTCAATAACAACGCTCCTCTTCCGAATAAGTGAAGCAAAAGTTTGTGTATTAATTATTACATTAACATAATTGAAAAAAAAATATATCTTTAAACGTATAAGAGAACATTTTAGAAAGGGCTTAATTTTAAATGAGTTCTGACTAAATGACCAATTTTACCTATTCCGCACGACACATAAAAATTGAGAATGCAGAATTAAACAGCGAATGATATAGCATTAGAAAATAGACGAAAACAAAATGAATATGAATTTCTGTTGGTAGATTTTTAAGATCAGGCATAAAATAATTGTTTGAACATGTAAAAAGTAAATTAAGACACATGTGCAACATCTGGGTATCTTTATTGTAGACGTTTCGCCATCCAGTGGCTTTATCAATACAAATTCTAGGACATAACTTGAAGACAGAAGAACTATGTACAGAAGACACTGCAACATCATGGAATCTTGATTCTGAGGACATGTACATAACCTTCACGACTACAACTACTTCTACAACTAACCCATCTCTTTGGGAAGGACCTACTTCCACTGGGGAATCCCGCCTACCAGTGAATATGCCCTCGTCTGCTACACCTGACGTTACTATATAAGCGCCAGGATCCTTTCTTCTGCTTCAGAATCTCCACGACTATGGTGCTCTTCGCACCTACTCCTAGGTTGAGGGACTGATTACCTCATCTTCTGTACATAGTTCTACTGTCTTCAAGTTATGTCCTAGAATTTGTATTGATAAAGCCACTGGATGGCGAAACGTCTACAATAAAGATACCCAGATGTTGCACATGTGTCTCAATTTCATCTTGTCGGTATTATATACCATTCTTACACAACATGTAAAAAGTAAGTTGGAAATGAATTAAAAAGAGGATTTATGTTTGACAGGTATCAACATACAATATTTGAAGTGTGACTCTGAAGATGTCATGACGGAACAAAAATGAAATTAGCGAATGTTGACAACATCTGATGTTTTGGTTTAAGATCACCAGGAATAAGTTAGTTATAGATACGTCAGTATAGCAGCATAATGTTTGAGGGAGATTAATAGACAAATTACTACAAGCAAACATCACAATGGAAAAATAATGAAAAAACTTTAGTAACTTTGAGTCCAGGATAAAACTTTCTGGAGATAAATATTAGTAACAACTTAAAGAGAAAATTAATGATATTTATGACAGATTTAATTTAGAGTAATACATATTTAGAGAGGATAGAACGAAACAGAATGACCTGGAGGCTGGATAAATCTATAGTGGAGGGAAGGAGGGGGGGAGGGGGTAAATGAGGTTTTGTGTGGGAGGGGCTTGGACTTCCAGCAGGCATGCGTGAGCGTGTTAGATAGGAGTGGAGACAAATGGTTTTCATGACTTGACGTGCTGTTGGAGTGTGAGCAAGGTAACATTTATGAAGGGGCTCAGGGAAACCGGCAGGCTGGACTTGAGTCCTGGAGATGGGAAGTACAGTGTCTGCACTCTGAAGGAAGGTGTTAATGTTGTACCTCTGGCGAGACAATGATGGAGTGAATGATGATGAAAGCGTTTCTTCATTTTCTGGTCACGGTGCCTTGGTGCGAAATGGCCGATGTGTTAATCAAAAAATATATTTATTCAAAAGACTGGTAACAAACACAACATAAAATACAAATTTTGATACGAGTATTAGAAGGAAACACAAGACAGAAGATTATATAACGATACAAGAGAGATAGGTAAGAAAAAAGTTACTTATATGGAGAGTGAATGATGAGCCACTATGATGGTATATTAAGTACCTTCTTCAGTGTTTGCAGCAGACTTGAACCCGCTTCTTGCCATTATAGCCTCACATCTGTTGGATACAACCAAACATCACCATCATCTTAAGTTTTTATTTTGTAATCAAGTAACAAATTTATTTAAGCAACGAAGTGAGAGTTTTAACCAGCATATCATAGTTAAGTTTTTTGTGTGTTGTGTGTAACTACTGCTGTGTTTACTGTGTCATCTCAGAAAACTTACTTGCAAGTAACTGAGGAGAAGTACTCGCCGCTGCTGCAGTCTTCAGGGTTACGACAGTAGCAGTTGCAAGTATCGTTGTCCCAATACTTAGTCATGTTCTGCTCCTCACATTTGCTCTTCTCGTCACTGAGGAAAATAAATTAGTTGAAATATATTTATGTTTGAAAATCAGAACTTTTCCAACATCCAAGTATCCGAAGCTTTAAAAATATAATGATGCTCTTTGCTTTGAATTTTCACATTTATATAAAAGTGTTGGTACCACTGTTTTCTTTGTCTGCACACACGCCTCAGTGCACCACCCACCACACACGCCTCAGTGCACCACCCACCACACACGCCTCAGTGCACCACCCACCACACACGCCTCAGTGCACCACCCACCACACACGCCTCAGTGCACCACCCACCACACACGCCTCAGTGCACCACCCACCACACGCCTCAGTGCACCACCCACCACACATGCCTCAGTGCACCACCCACCACACACGCCTCAGTGCACCACCCACCACACATGCCTCAGTGCACCACCCACCACACATGCCTCAGTGCACCACCCACCACACATGCCTCAGTGCACCACCCACCACACATGCCTCAGTGCACCACCCACCACACATGCCTCAGTGCACCACCCACCACACACGCCTCAGTGCACCACCCACCACACATGCCTCAGTGCACCACCCACCACACACGCCTCAGTGCACCACCCACCACACATGCCTCAGTGCACCACCCACCACACATGCCTCAGTGCACCACCCACCACACACGCCTCAGTGCACCACCCACCAACACATGCCTCAGTGCACCACCCACCACACATGCCTCAGTGCACCACCCACCACACACGCCTCAGTGCACCACCCACTACACATGCCTCAGTGCACCACCCACCACACACGCCTCAGTGCACCACCCACCACACACGCCTCAGTGCACCACCCACCACACACGCCTCAGTGCACCACCCACCACACATGCCTCAGTGCACCACCCACCACACATGCCTCAGTGCACCACCCACCACACATGCCTCAGTGCACCACCCACCACACATGCCTCAGTGCACCACCCACCACACACGCCTCAGTGCACCACCCACTACACATGCCTCAGTGCACCACCCACCACACACGCCTCAGTGCACCACCCACCACACACGCCTCAGTGCACCACCCACCACACACGCCTCAGTGCACCACCCACCACACATGCCTCAGTGCACCACCCACCACACACGCCTCAGTGCACCACCCACCACACACGCCTCAGTGCACCACCCACCACACATGCCTCAGCGCACCACCCACCACACACGCCTCAGTGCACCACCCACCACACATGCCTCAGCGCACCACCCACCACACACGCCTCAGTGCACCACCCACCACACATGCCTCAGTGCACCACCCACCACACATGCCTCAGTGCACCACCCACCACACACGCCTCAGCGCACCACCCACCACACATGCCTCAGTGCACCACCACCACACACGCCTCAGCGCACCACCCACCACACATGCCTCAGTGCACCACCCACCACACATGCCTCAGTGCACCACCCACCACACATGCCTCAGTGCACCACCCACCACACATGCCTCAGTGCACCACCCACCACACACGCCTCAGCGCACCACCCACCACACATGCCTCAGTGCACCACCCACCACACACGCCTCAGTGCACCACCCACCACACATGCCTCAGTGCACCACCCACCACACATGCCTCAGTGCACCACCCACCACACACGCCTCAGTGCACCACCCACCACACACGCCTCAGCGCACCACCCACCACACATGCCTTAGTGCACCACCCACCACACATGCCTCAGTGCACCACCCACCACACATGCCTCAGTGCACCACCCACCACACACGCCTCAGTGCACCACCCACCACACATGCCTCAGTGCACCACCCACCACACATGCCTCAGTGCACCACCCACCTTTTGTTTCCCTAGACAATACTATGGTTCACCTCACCTTTCACAGACCATCTGCCAACAGGTACCTGAACACATTCACTTCCTCCATTCTCCTTCCTTTCAGTCTGATATCCAGTCTTTCATTACTTAATTATTTTTGTGTCTTTCATCACCTTACTGTTTCCTACATTTATTTTTAATTTCCTTCTTTTATATATCCTTGGAAATTCGTCACTAACCTTTGCAACTTATTTTCAGAATCTTCCGTAAGTCACAGTAACTGTGACAACTCGCAATTTGTATTAGAGATCTTTTTATTTTATCCCACAATCTCTCCCCAACACCCTAACATTCATTTCTTTAAAATCCCTTTTCTAAATATGTTAAACAACCATGGAGACCACGCATCCTTGTCTAGGGCCAACTCTCGCCGATAAATAATCTCCCTCTCTCGTATATACCCTAACCTGAGCCTCACTATATTCATAAAAACTCTTAACTATTGTAAGTAACCTACCACCTATTTCAAACACTAACATAGTCTGCCACATTGCTTCCCTATTCACCCTATCGTAAGCCTTTTCTAATTCCATAAATGCAGCGAAAATGTCTTTACGTGTATCTACATATTGTTCAGTTATATGCTTTACTGTAAACACTGGGTCTACACACCCCCTACCTTTCCTTGTTCATACGCGATCCTGCTCTCTGTCTTACCTCTAATTCTTTCAGTAATAACTACCATACACTTTAACAGGTATACTCAACAGGCTTATTCCTCTATAATTCGTCAACTCTCTTTTATACCCCTTCCATATATACAAAGGAACTATGCAGGCAACTCAGATGAAAATTTACACGCACATATGAGCTATTAAATCTCTGCATCAAATTCACCTTAAACCAGTAAATAACACTATGTAACAAAATTTCATTTGTGTCTTGTTCCTGGGAAATAAGCATCATTTGCCAATTCTTAATAACTAAACAAAATTTAAAAAAAACAATCTTGATCCCAGAACTTTGCTTTTGTGGTCAGGACACTTCTGGAACACTTTCAAGAAAGACTGATGTAAAACTATTATGTTCTAGGGTTTTGTAAAGTAAAAGGACACAAGTGCAACTGATGTGACATTTTATTGTGGCAACGTTTCGCTCTCCGGAGCTCTGCCAAGCTTGACAAAGCTCCTGGAGAGCGAAACGTTGCCACAATAAAATGTCACATTAGTTTCACTTGTGTAGTTTTACTTTATATAATGTCGGTAATTCTACCAACATATATATGTTCTAGGGTTTTAATTGGCAAATATAAAAACAGGGGCTCACAAACCAGCATTCAGTTCAGCTCTGGCTGCCTGAGAAGACACAACAGAAGAAGTGAAATGACATTAAGAGGCTGCAATCATTCTCCAGATGCATTGTGCTACATATGTGATCAGTTCATTGAGACAAGAGCAAAGAAGTTCTCTGTAACAGCATCTAAAAAAATGTGTGAAGCTTACAAAGCATATTTTGTCATGTCAGTTGTGGACCAAGACAAGACCTGGGCGCCTCATGTTGCTTGTGAACATTGTAAGAAAACATTGGAAGTTAAGAAAGTCATTAGTTATATGAAGGGTAAAGTCTTGAATAGGAACATTTTTTAAATGAAATGTATGTAACAGAAACTAATTTTTTTTTTCAGAATGGTATAGAGGAGAATAAAGAGCCATGAAGTTTGGTGTTCCAAGAATATGGCGTGAACCCGCTGATCAGTCAACCAACTGCTAGTTCTGTCTGGTGGATCCTTCCAAACACCGAACTGGGAAAATGCAGCTGCTATTTCTTATCCAGACCTTCCCTCTTCTATTGCACCAGTACCACACAGTGCTGATCTTCCTGTACCTACACCTCCAGCAAGAAGTCGACTGTCAAAAGAAGAAAGCGGCAAATCAGAAAATGAAGAGCACAGTGAACAAGACTATGATCTCACAGATTCAGCAGTTGGGAGGAATCCTTACTACCCAAACCAAACAGACCTCAATGACCTTATCAGAGATCTTGGTTTGACAAAGTCAACCAACATATCTGAAGCTTCTTCACTAATGAAGACAGGTTGTGCTACTGTAATGACGTATCAGGCCTGTTTGATGCAACTGGAATTGCATGCAATCCAGATGAGTGGAGACTCTTCATTGACAGCTCCTCCAGAAGCCTAAAAGCTGTACTTCTGCGCACTGGGAACAAGTATCCATCTCTTCCCTTGGCTCATTCAGTGCATCTTAAGGAGGACTACAACGGTGTCAAACTTCTACTGGAAGCTTTGAAGTATGATAAATATTGCTGGGAGGTTATTGGAGACTTCTAAATGGTGGCATTTTTGATGGGACTCCAAGGTTTTACCAAGTTTCCCTGTTATTTCTGTCACTGGGATAGTAGAGACAGAGCAGCACATTACCAGAGGAAGCACTGGCCTCAAAGGACTGAGTTCTCAGTAGGAAGACATAAAATCAAACATAAACCATTGGTGGATCCTCAGAAGGTTCTGTACCCTCTATTAGACATAGCTATCGCACTCAGCTCACACACTGAGGTCCGAACATCGAATCACCTCCGGTACGGATGGAAAACATTAGGGACGTGTTTCTATAAGACACCTGCCGTCCCTGTTCACCCATCAGTTTAAAATGAGTACCTGGGTGTTAGTCGACTGGTGTGGGTCGCATCCTGGGACAAAACTGACCTAATTGCCCGAAATGCTCAGCATAACAAGGGACTTTCTATATAGTGGTATGTTACTGATGTCAGCTAGGCCTGTATACCATGTACATGTACTTGTAGTAAATAAATATATTATTATTATTAAACTAGAGCTAATCATCAGTTTGTTACAGCTCTTGATAAAGAATCTGCAGCCTTCAAGTATCTTCAAGACTTCTTTCCCAAGCTATCAGAGGCAAAGGTGAAGGCTGACATCTTCACTGTACCATAAGTCAGGAAAATCATGGAGTGCTCAGAGTTTCCAAAGAAGCTCACAGAGGAGGAAAAGGAAGCCTGGGAGAGTTTTTTTTTTTGCTGTAGCACAGTGTTTTCTGTGCAACAACAAGGCTGACAATTATATGGAACTGTTGAGACCCTGGTAAAAAGCTACGGTCAGATGTGCTGTAGGATGTCCCTTAAGGTCCATATCCTTGATGCTC